GATGGATGACGGTTGGATGATGAATCAATGGCCTCTTTTTCATTAGTGACATTATACTATTAACAGAATAAACACATTTAATCAGGTTTATTTTTGCTGTAAATCTAACAGATCTTCCTCAAACATTAAACTAAGCTTTTCTTTTGTTTCTTCTTTTCTTAAGATTAATCAGCAGTGAAACGATAACATGAATGAAGACCTGAAGCAAAATAAGGAAAAGAAGCATATCACACGTATCGTAGTCTGATAATGCAGTAAATTGTCCTCTTATCCTTTTAGTTCCTAGAGTTTTTAAGAAGCGAATCATGAACAGAAACCTGGAGTTGCTTCTGAACTTTGTTGCCTGCAGTGATTGCCGGTTTCCATGTCTCTGTGTGGATGTGTCACATTAAAGCACTTTAAAACTTAGTACTGAAAGGTAATATAGTGGAACAATATTTAAGGTGCATGAACAGTTCTGCTGTATGTAAGTATTGTTTGTGCTGAACTTGGAAACGTGCTGGAAATAGTTCGCTCGCTGTGATTCGAGAGGGATTTGATGTGTTAACACACTTCTCCGCTTAACAAGCAAAAGCACACAGACACGCGCTCTCATGAAACGCCTTTATGAGCAATCTGAATGTATCTGCCTGATCACCATTTATTTTATACTCTGCTTATATTCAAATGAGCTGTGCAGCTGCATGCAGGATGGCGAGGCGGCGTTTCTATAGGCAGATTTCAGCACAACAGCAAACTCTGGCCTTTATGTTTCAAAGCCTACAGGGCAATGTTTCCAATTAACAAGGTTTTATCAACATGACAGGGTGTTAGTTAGGTGCGAGTGCAGGTTTGGGTGCAGGTGCTAACTAGCTTTTTTATGTGTATCACACATTTTACCTTTTAAATGAACTTGGAATAGTTTGCTAGAAGGAAGTTTGTGCATAATATTTCCTGCCTTTTCTTCGTCTTTTTTTTTTTGCTTTTTTAGCTCTAATAATGAAATGCATGCCTAAAAGGTCTCTTTCTGTCCCGCATGTAGTGTCGGTGGGCTATGAGTACGAGTCGTGTGCAAGCCTGATCCTCTGGGAGAAGAGGACGACCATTCTGCAGGGCTATGAACTGGATCCCACCAATCTGGGCGGCTGGTCGCTCGACAAGCACCACATACTCAACACCCGCAGCGGTATGAAGAAATCTATATATATCTATAGAAATCTATATCTATATTTAGCCGTTTCCCTCTGCGTTGCAGGATTTCTCCACTTGTTTGTCTCTCTGCAGGTTGTGGAATCATATTTTTTCTTGGCCTATTTGCAGAGATGGGAAGTAACAAAGTACAAATACTTCGTTACTGTACT